GTTTTCATGAAAAAATTAAAGGAGTCTTTTTCAGTCATCTCATAATTTCTCTTCAATCTCAATTGTAAAATAAATTGTGAGAGAATTGTATCGTGAAACCAGTATCGCAAATCGTGTTGAGTTGAGTGAATCGTTACATCCCTACTAACTCAACAACAGCACTTCCTTCTGTATCATCGTTTGGAAAACCAGTTGTTAGCATGCCAACGAAACATGGACATTTAGCCATCCTGCAGTGTCCTTTTGAAATTTAACCTAGTTTACAACCTTGTTATAGACGCTCTGTTAACTTTAAATTTATGTCAGCATTGTCACATTTACTTTTCCATTCATGCTAAGAAATACTTAGTTTCAGGAAACACAAGCAGCTGAACCTTTACGATTGAAGGTATTTGCATAAACTCTAATCTGGCACCTAATTGAGAAGAGTTTTAATGTCATATGTTTTCATCTGAATCAGAGACGATTGTGTCTTAGCACATCTTCTGAGCGCTAGTTCAACACCACTATGGTTAACCTCAGCATTTATTGTTAGACACCGTGACCTCGCGGAGATAGACAAAGCAACAAATGAAGGCTAACTGTTAGCATACTTGCATGTTGTGTCAAGTTCTGCGATGACACACTGCAGTGATTCATAGAGCAGCTACAGCCATGTCAGTGATCCTCTGTCCGACTGACACACTTAGAGAGAGATGAGTGATGAATTCAGACACAGTGTGCTGTCATGGTTTAGAAATTCATTATTCATTGATTACACTTTAGTTTTTTTCTAAACACGTCCTGAATCAGAACCCGTCGCGCACACTTCTGTCTGCTCTTCTTACAGGTAGTATCACCTCACATGTTCACACACTACTCACCAGTTTACCATTTCCTCCCCATTAGATTAATTTTTCTATACCCAGTTCTTTACCAGATTGTATTTCATTTTTCTGTGTTTTGACGACTGCTTTAGAGCCTGAGCTTCTTTTTTTAACCTCACCTGAAGTTTTAAAGAGCCCATATTCTGCCCTTTTTGGGGTTCATATATTTAATCTATGTACCTACTTTTGTACGTTCACAATAGCTAAAGTCTGAAAAAAGTGTCTGTTTTCATGTACTGCTCCTCCTTGCTCCCTCTACGCTCTGAGTCCGTCAGCTACACTCTGCTGAGCCCACACTGTTAGACCCCACATGGGCCAAGTCTGCTCTGATTGGTCTGCCGATCCGCTCTGTCGTTATTGGTCAGTTGCTCAGCACGCTTCTCGGAAATTTCAACATGAGCTGCAGGACTTGCCACAACGAGCCAATGGGCTTAGATCAGTGATCTCACACTGACACATTTTTATCGAGGGGGGCTAGAACCGAGCGTTACATGCAGCTAATGCTACAGCTAACAGGAGGAGGTAGGAGAAGCCACGTTTCCATGGATTTTGAATTTTTGCACCTAGATGTGCCTAAACATGCACAGGACACTTGGAAAACACACTAAAGAGCATATAAAACCAGACAAAGCATAATATGGGACCTTTAATCTTCTTAGGCCTGACCCCCTTTTGACCTTCTTGAAGTCTACTTTTATTTTATTGCTCTTTAAATACTGATTTTTTTATTAATAATATTACTCATTGCTTCCTTTTTTACCCTTTAACTCTCACAAGTGCTTATGTTCTCATATTGAGTATCAATGACATCTGCATTACAGGCCATGGACTTAACATCGATATCATCTTCCAGATTTTTAATGCAGGATTTCTGATACAGGATGGCTCCCACAGCTTTTGTTGTTTTGTCTTATTTTTCCACACTGTACTTGAGTAATGTCTCTCCCATTCACAGTCTACGTATATTCAGCCCACACTCAATTTCACATGATGACAAAAAAGCAAGAATGAAGAGTGGCAGAGTGGGCGAAACTCTAAGTGCTGTGAGAATATTCTCGGCATATTGGATAACTAATGATTCAACTCAGCCTGCGTCACACACTGACTCATCAACAACAACCGTCACTTAGAGTCGGCAGGCTGTTAGTCTGGAGCACCTGTGGCTCTCAGTATCAGGGCTTTAAAGAAAGGAAAACCACATCTGAACACCAGGATAACGACTGTTTCTGTAAAAGTCAGAGTAACACACAAGCAGCTATTGTCTGAAAAAACAAACCACAACAAAAAGAGATGTTCCTGAACAAGCAACAGGTTTTACACTGTTTGTATTGTAAACAGGTTTAAAATAGTTACAGTGCATGCATGGCAGCGTTTAGGAAGTCATGAGACATGTTGTCATTTACTCAGATTATGGGATTCCTGTTTAAAGAGCACAGCACAGTTCTGATGTTTACACAATCTGTCTACAGTAGACCTTTTTAATAATCAACACGTGGCTAAAATGCAGCTCTTCTTTAACACTTGTAAAACTGTGAAAGAAAGCATTACAACTAGCCTATTTACCATTTATACAGGGGTATAAATAACCAGGTTTCTCTGTGTGCATGTCCCAAATATGATCAAAACTGGGATAAGGCTCATATCTGGGATACTCAAGTCCATGTAAATGCATTCAGCAAAATCTCCTTTAAAAACAATCGCATCATCACACAAACTGTGTGAGCACTTCTCAACAATATGCTGACAGCAGGCTGGGGTGCAACAGCATGACAGCTCCTCCCCTCATACCTACCACACAAGACAACAAAATTTCATAAGCCAATTAAATAATCATAACACACAGCTGAGGAAGCAACTGAGACCATGGCATTTTTGTATCCAACCACCACAAACAAGCAAAGGATATAGCCTATTTGTTCATGATAAGCCTGGCAGAGCGGCCATTTATTAGGACAATAGGTGTTAAGATGTATTGATAGAAACAGCCATAATGCAGAATTACATAGCATAATGTTAGTTAGTGTTACTTCATTCAGCGTTTTTATTTCAGTTCAAAAACACTATTCAGATAGGACTATATCTTTAATAAAAAGAGGCATTCATTAGGAAACTTTCATTCTCTTACATCTGCTGTAACTATGACGACCACAGAAGCGTTAGCTGAAAGTCTCCAGTTAACATGGACGCTCTTTGAACCGTAACACCTGTTCAGGGAGGGTGCGGCCTGCATAGTCGCGTTTTTTCTCAAATAAACCTGAACTAAACAGCAGTAGAATAAAATAAGAAGGCACGACAGCCTGATAGATTTTAAATAACTTTCTCTTTGATGACAGCATTAGCCTACTTGAAAACGAAGTCCACCTCAGGTAGGCATTTGTAGGCTAACTGCTGGAGTCCAAACGCCTCTCATAAGTCTTTGTTTAAGTGAGCTCAGTGAAGGTCTTCATTTGTTAACTCCTACTTCTCATTCAAAGTTAGTCCAGAAAACAGTGTTGATATACATGCGTTGCTTTGTCCTCCTCAGTAGCAGTAATATGACTTAACGGCTTCTATCGTGGGAGAAAGTCAATTTTACTGTCACTCTCTGTGATTTTAAAGTGGGATCACCAATCATAGCTGGAAGTAAAGCATTTTCTGCCTAGCAAAAGTAAAGACAGAAAATTGTGATAGGTTGGCAATTTTGCCTTGTTTTAAAAAAAGGGATTCAGGGTTTATTTTTCACTTTTAACTTAGGCCCTCTAGAAGACATCAACAGTTCCCCTCTGATTTTTGCTTATTGACAGCTCAGGGTATAATTAAAGGAAATTAAAGACCTTTATAATAATTACAACATAATCTGTCGATTTAGAGTGATTTCATTTCTTGGCAAAAAATATTATCATATAGAATTTGTCTTCTCAAAAAAAATATTATCATATAGAATTTGTCTTCTCAAATTATTATGGTATTGCCTTCTTTTTTCTTGATTAAGTTTTTTTTTTTTTAAATGTATCTATTTCTGTTCTTGTTTCCTATCTGTTCCTTTGTGCTGCACTTCTGGCTGCATGCTTTTATGGATGAAGGCTTTATACTGTAGGCCTATATACTGTATATATGCTACTGTATGTAGGCTATATATAGTTTTAATTCAATGACTTATAATCACATTCACAGTTCACAGCTTGGCACAAAAAAGTGTTTTAAATGCTTTAACTAAGGCTAAGTAAAGCAGAGGTGATAAATTAGTGTGATATTGAACGAAAAGAAATAGACCTATGAGACATCTTTTTTTTTTAAGCTTTAATGTTAACACACTTCATAAACAACAATCCGTCTATTTACAATATTTTCCTGAAAAGAATAGGATGCTGTTTTAGTTTTTAACTTATCTTCAACCAGCTTTACAGTTCAGACCTATGAAAAATACACAGAGATATATATATATATAAACACTGCAGAAATCAAATCTCAGAAGGTGTATTTATTTATTGTCAAAAATATCTCACTACACTTACTTTATGCCTGACAAGTCGTGATTAATGTTTTATTTCAAGATACAAAAAATGGTCTGAACAATATCCACCAATGGAAGCACGATCATTTTACTTAAATAAACTTGAAATTAAGTGTCTTTATCTGGTTAGCACATCTCATTTCATGACACTTCACAAGCATAATTTGCTTGCTGCAGATGTGCTATTTTCTCATTTCAAGCAATTCAAGCCTTATTTTAGCTTTTTAAACCTTGAATTAAAATGTTCATCTGTCTGGTCATGTCAATGTCGCCTATAATAATAATAGGGATGAGATATTTTGACTATAAGAAAAAGACACTGGCTGAGATTGGAGTTTATTGCAGTGAAGAGTTTGAATATGTCCCGTCTACAGGACGTTACTCATGTCGGGAAATTTTCAAATTGTGTGTAAACAAAAGTTATTGTTTCATAGCTGAGGTCCTGTCAGAACTTGGAGATCAAGCAGTCGGCTCTCTTTTCTAAAACATTCCAATGTATGAGTCCAAAATAGTCTTCTGTTAAACACCAATCTCTTGTGTCCTGGGTCCACTCCTCTTCAAAAGAAAATTCCAGAGCAGGTTTGGGCAGTTCTTGTTTACCTTCCCTCTGACTCCACCCCTTCTGCCTGTCTCACTTCCTGATCACCTTGGCCTGTTGGAGGTGAGCAGGTCCTAAGTTCACACTGTGGCAGTTCTTTCTTTTCGCTTTGAGTGGAAGAATTCCCTGGAGACCAGCAGACGGATACAATTTCCCAACTTGAGGACCGACAGCCAATCGGCAGAGTGTGCAAACGGGACAAAGTCCTTTTTTTCCTGAGTCATTTAACCCTCCTGTGCTCCCTCCACCTACTCTGTGAAAGGTTTATTGTTACACCCTCTGCAAAGCTTTACCTGCCCAGGTGAGCTGCACTGTTGAAACTCAGCGTCGTCTTGAAGTCATGTAAGTACACATTCCCCGCAGGAAGTTGAATTATGTATTTAAAGTTTGGTTTCTTAATAGTCTTAAACTGAACTTTGAATTGCATTGAATCCCTGTGTGAGCGTTGTTCCACCTTCACTCTCCATGCGTGTTCGAGCTACAAGGAGCCTGTAACTCATGTTGTATTTGTAGTTTCATTATTACCTCTGTGCGTGCGAGTGTCTCAGCGGGTGTCGGGTACAGTCTGTGCCCGTCCACTCAGCCGTCCTCCTATTAGAGACACTTCACAGAGCTTCACATCTGTCTGCAGCTGTTCTCCCAGACTGAGGTGTCAGGTCTGGCTCAGACTCACTGTGGAGACTGAAACGAGCTCAGAGAGGGACCAGCATATAATAACACACACGCACGCACGCACGCACGCACGCACGCACGCACGCACGCACGCACGCACACACACACACACGCACACACACACAGCCTTATGTGGAGGTTATTGAAAGGGCAGGAATTACATTAGGATGTTCATTTTTGATGGAATGAGATGCCCACTTCTTTGAAAAGTGCTCCTATTTATGTATGTTATTAAATGTCAGATTATCTTTTGGACCTTGATTCTACATTAAAATAAATTAATAAAACAAAAAGTGATAGCCTATATTTTTGTTATTCTGATGCAACATGAACAGCATCACCTTAATGAAGTAAAGATAATTTAACAGCACATGTAGATGTTTGGTTAATGAATTGAATGAGTATGTATCCATCCTTGTTCTTTCAAAGAAGATGTATGTATTTACTTATTATATTCTGAAGCTAAGCTCAATGTTTTTTAGGTTATTCCACAGTTTGTGATTTGATGTGAGGTTGTGTTGTGTAACAGACGTCTGCAGAAAGTGAAAAATAAAAAGGCTTACAGGAATCCTCAGTGTTTCAGGGACATGTCTGAACACAGCAGAGTATGTGTTGGTTAATTGATCTCGCTCACACACACAAACACACACTCGTTGTGCCGGTCTCTGCAGACTGCTTCATGTTGATTTGTGCTTATTACGAGCAGATCTGATGGAATCACAGTGATTTCTGATGTTTCAGGATCAGATGATGAACTGAAATGTTCATGAGCGACATCTTGTTCTGAACTTGCTCTCTCGCTCTCTCTCTCTCTCTCTCTTTCTCTCTGTCTCTCTGTCTCTCTGTCTCTCTCTCTCTCTCTCTCTCTCTCTCTCTCTCTCTCTCTCTCTCTTTCTCTCTTGTTGGTTTGACACGATTGAATTTCGATTCCACATGAACAGTGTGTTAACATAATCATAATGTTATTCAGGATAAGATGCTCACACAAAAGATTGGGAACCTTTTTCTCTATATCTCTGCATACATTATCATGAAAGTGTCTGTCAATTGTTTTTATTTCCTCACAATCTTAGTCATAGTTTGTAAGACTGATCAGAAACCTGGATAACGTGTTTACCTTCTTCAATATCTTGGTTTCTATCGCAGTAATTCAGGTTAGGGCTGGGCCGTACAGAAACACATAATGATGGATTATTTTCCATTTTGATTATTATTAGATCTAAAATTATATGATTAAAGAGGATCCTTTACATGATGGATGCCTAGAAACCTGACTGGTCATTACACAATCTTCAGAATAGCGTGGTAACATGCACTTTAGTGTCCTAAAACACGTTTTCGAGACTGTTCTTTAGTTTTCAAATGTACTATAATAAAGTGTACTTCATGTGCAAGCCCATTTTCTATTCTGTGATAGGCTGTTTGATCCATATCAAGTAATACATCTAAATAATTGTAATCATTATCAATCACTATAATTTTTTTTTTTCCATATTCCAATTGAGTTTTTTTCTTTCACCCAGCTAGACTACAGACCCTCAAACCCACGATAAGGGGCTTTTCCAGGTTTCACAAACTGGCAAGCAATGTTTACCGGCAAAACACATAACCAGAAAAAAAACAGGATACTTGTGCACATACAAACACACCCACAGAGCAGTTTGTGAGACCACACCTGCTGCAACAGCTATCACCAGGTGAGTCAGTTTCTGTAGGCCTATACGACTAACATATCAGTCTGTTTCAGCACATACAATCAAATCTACAATGACTATCAAAGGAGTTCTTCAAAAGAAGCAGTCTATAGTTTGTCTGATATGATCTGAGGGTGTGTTTGATTCGCAACAGGTATCATTTCATTACAGCTGAATATGAAGAGTGGATGTGCACACAGGGTCATGCTAGTTCAGCGAGGATGGTGAGAGTGCTGACACAGACACAATGAGCTTGTCACTGGGTTGTTTTTCACATTCAAATCGTTAGAAAAAGGAGCTGACTTGGCGTTGTCCTGTGTCATTATTAACTAGTCAAGTCGTTGCAGATCACAGCAGAGTGACCCGAGAGAGAGAATACACTGCTCTATCTGCATGAAAGGTGCAAAGAGTGATGTAGAAGGATACGGGCCATCTTAAACAAACAACTCTCCCAGCTTGCAGTGTTTGAGGAGCCACGGCCTTTTGAGCCAAAGCTCGACAAACGAAACACTTGTACCGCAGTACTGAATTCACAAAATAAACACTTGCTTGTTGTATTGCTTTTGTAATTTAAAAGGAGAGACAAAGTGAATGAAATGCAGCTCAAATGGTCACCTTTCTTCAGTGTATCTGAACATTACATTGCAGGACAAGTTGTTAATAAAACATCAGTCATATGTAGTTCACTCTGTGTGCTCTCTGTTTCTGCCTCTCTGGAGCAAAGAGCAGGGCGGTTGTGACGGTTGTGTTCGAGTCACATCTGGGATCAGAAACGATCCGCAGAGAGTCGATGCTCCTCAGGCGCAGGTGTGTCCTCTCTTTACTATGAGCGAGTGTGTAGAGGCATGCATGAGTGTGAGAGTCCAAGTGCATGTCTTTGCATGTATTTGTGTGCAGTGAAGTATCGTTATTGTGTGACTTCATTCAAACAATAATTATTGCAAATGGTTTACAATCAGGATGTACATTTCTCATACATTTCTTTCATAAAACATTTTCTGCTTCCGCGGTTGTACTTTAGTTATCTTTGGTCTTTTGAATAAAAAAGTTTTTTTCAGCTCAGAATAGAGAACAAAAGTGAAAGGAGATGTTTCTGTTCGTCAGTGTTGGGTAACATTCATTTCCAAAGTGCCTGAACTTGTGACTGACTTTTGAAAGTACCTCATTACACATATTGCATTAAGAAAAGTCATGCATCATCCTTTTGCGTTACCATAAATTAAAACCCTTTGTTGTGTTGGTTATAGAGTATGTCTGCCTTTGAATGTATTGACTCTCTATAATAATAATAATAATAATAATAATAATAATAATAAATTAGATTTATATAGCGCTTCTCTAAATACTCAAAGACGCTTTGACAGGAAACAACAAAAAACAAAGCAAAAACTAAGAGAACAATACAACATAGAAGTAGTGTCGAGGGAAGAGGATGAGAGTCAGTGGTTGTAGGCGGTGATGAAAAGGTGAGTTTTTAGGGATTTCTTGAAGGAAGTGAATGTGGGGGCGTCTCTGATGTTTTTAGGGAGAGAGTTCCAGAGGGTGGGAGCGGTGGGAGCGGCAATGGATACCATCTTTTCTTTTTTTCTTAAAGATATTTTTGGGGCCTCGTTGGGAGGAGAGAGAGGGGGATGACATGCAGCAAATGCAGAGGATGGACTCGAACCCATGGTCATCACGGCTAGACTATCCTCTGCACATGGGGCGCACAACACAACTACTAGGCTACCCGTCAACCTGACTCTACTATAATTTGTCTTCTGTTAGAACCTCCTTAAAAATGAGATGGTACATCTCAAGGGACTTATCCTATAAAAATAAAATACAAATACTTTCACACAGGTTTACGGCTGTAACTCTGCAGCCTTCAAACAAAACTAGCTGATTTGATAACCTTTACAGCGTTTTTATTATACTAACAAAGTCACAATGAACTGGGCAGAGGCATACAGTATGAGGCACAGCTGGTTCAAAGAAAATCACACAACAGCAGTTCTTGAACTCACATCTTATCCTGATTTTTTTTTTTTTTTTCCTTTTCGCTCAAAAAATTCAACATGATGGAGATATTTCCACAAAGTAAACACTCTCCTCTCTGTTATCTCGCTAGTTGAGTTGGCTAAACATATATGCACACTGACACACCTGTGGGTTTAACTTCTGCAGGTACGCAGCTACGTGCACAAAGGTCGGACACACAGAAAATGCAGTATTTTTTTTCCATTAACAGAATACTTTTCTGTAAAAAAGTGATACATTGCTGCCAGATTCATGTTGATTTTAGTTATTTTCATGAACAAAATCCAAACAGAATATGCCTAAACACACTTACCAAAAGACTTTCAATAAACAATCCAGTCAGTGTGTTATCTTGATTTAAGTTGATGTTTAAGACTTAAAAAAACAAGTTACAGGTTACATAATTTACATATTAAGCAATACTACAGGTCTGTTGGGCAGTGGGCCCATCAGAGAATAAACCTTCATAGAGGAAAATAAGGTGGTGAACAAACACATCTGGAATGACCTACACAAACAAGACAATGGACATCATGTTCCTCACATTCACACCGCCTGCAAAAAAACAGAGAATCGAAAAAGACCAAGTACTTTGAGTTTTCTGTTGTATCACTACACTGATTTACACAAGTCTTTAAAGTGTTTAAAACTTTAACTTTGATCTTCTTGCTCATTCATCCTTTCAAACTCTGTCTGTGCCTTCTACTTTATGACTATTTCAAATTTAAACATTTCAAATTTGGATTGATTTGTGAGGGAGACCCCAAAATGTTTTCTTTTTGTTTTCTGTTTAAAATATCCTCTTTACATTTTCTACATATAGTTTGAACAGATCAAGTCATTCTTTGTATAATAATTTTATTTAGATCATGCTAAACAAAATATGTCTACGCTCTTATTTCATATTTATTAATATTTAAACTCAAAATAAATAAAGTAGCACTTCATTTGTGTAGCAGACCCCTGATGGTTTTCCCTAGAAGAGACTTCAATATCTACTTCATTCATGTAGCACACTCCAATTATTTGTGTTTGAATATCCTTATTTTCTTCTTCAGTTCAAACTTAAAAGAAAATTCTGTGTGTTGTGCCTCGGTTGATGAGATGTACGTCACACTGTGCAGAGGGTTGTGAGTCAGAAGAGACTGAAAAGAAAAGCATGCTGGCTTACTCACAGAGTGGTGAGGCTTTATGTAATAAGAAAAAAATTGCTACTTTTGGCATTCTGCATTCTTTAAATATTCATGTTCTTCATCTTTTTGTTGCATACTTAATAGGATGGAGGAAAAGGATTTGGAATGCAGCCACTGGGCTTTGATTGCTGTTACAACTTTCGTGCGTTATCTTCATACTGATTATGTAATAAAAGAAAACGGCCTGCATCTTTGTATTGACAGCTTGGAGATTAGTCGCTACACATTTGTACTATGTCCTGTTAAAGTTGTGTGAATTATTTGGATGAACATCAGAGTCTGTTGTTATACTCTTGTTGTTGCTGTTAAACACAAAAAACACAGAAATGCCTCCAATTATAATAGAAATAGCATTTACTTGTATTTTTAGAATCCACACACAAGTCTTTGTTGTTGTTGTTTTTTTTATACCAGATCTAGTGTCTGGTTAAGCAGCCAAGGAGCCCACAGTGGGTCCAGTAACACCGCGGATGAAGTGCCAACAAGAAGGCTTTTTGCCAAGGTGACGTGTGTCTGACTGAGCCCATCTGTTAGTGTCCATGTGCTCGAGGAGCCCGCCTGCTTTGGAGATGACGTGGAAACTGGCACATTCACAATGTAAACCTGTGAAGAGTTTAGAGGAAAATTAAAAAAAACTGTCAGAATCATGTGAAAGGCTCAGTGGATTAACGAGTGGCCAGTGTTTGTCATGCAGTACACGAGTGAGAGCTGCACACTTATCTGTGTCTATCTGTCCTCAAACTTGCTGCTGCTGAGATGAGTCGTATTGATGTTTCTGCATCCAGAGCAGAATTCTCAGTGGCTCGATATCACTTCTCTGTGCCCGCAGAGGAAATCAAACAAACTGAGAAAAGACAGTTTGTGCTGTAAGACTGCAGCCACACACACTGTACATCATGTGCTGCTGCTGTTCATGTGTGTGAGAGAACATCACAATCTGGTATCTCTCCTCTGCAACAAAACAAACCTTTACTGATCACAAAAACTAGGTCTACAACGGGGGGACATTTATTGAACCACTGCATCCAGTGTCCCTTTTCCGAAACATGTTCTTCAATTGCATCTTGCTATTTAATCTCAGACATCAGAGGCCACTACATGACTTTTTTTCATTTTTACACCCTTTTTTCATTTTCACATGTGACCTTATTGGGATAATTTGGCTTTTTTCAAGTGGACACTCGAGGAACTGCCGTTTTTCCACCTCCATTTGCCCTAATAATTTTAAATATGTATATCATTTTTGCACACAAAAGACACACCACTGTCGCTAGAAAGGAAGTCTCCCCAGGGTTATAGTCAAGTCTCCTTTTATATGCAAATCTGATTCACAAACACGGCACATGTCTTGATATATTTCACCACCTATTACTGTATGTGTGTGACTATACATCAAAAGCACAGCTCTCTGTTTTTATCTACTTCTAAATTGAAAATATTTAATAAACAAATACGTTTGTAAAAAATAAATAACTTCATGAACATGAAAGCTTCTTATTTATGAACATTGGGCATCACTCTCCTGTAATCCTGTTGACCGAATATGTAAGGGTGGGTAAGAGGAACATATTCAACTTTTTTTGTTTTTCTGCACTGTGATTATTAAAAAATAAAAAAATGAAACATTTTCCCATTTGATTAGGTCTCTTTAAGTTTCAGGTTTTGAAGTTGTTTGTTCAATAATTGTTAAAAGATAAAAGAGGAGATTTTTTTTCAATTATTCAACAAGAGTAAAATTGAAGACGATTTTAAATATCTAGAATTACGTGCTTGAAATCTCAAGTTTTAAACCACATTAGTGTCTCAAAAATATGTTTGCAAATTTGCATTGACAGTAGGAAGCCTCCCTACGGGGGCCCCATCCCACAGCACTCTCTGTTGCACTGCTAAGTATTACATGTATTATTCCTCTGAAAACCGGGAGTGAAAAAAGAGCAAATATGTGTTGTGTAGAAAAGTCATAAAAGAATGGATTGTAATGTAATTTATTCTGCCATATAAGCCAAAGCAAACATGTTAAAGAAACACAGTACTTTTATGGTTGGTTGTATGGTTGACTTATGTTCGATATGATTAGTTTTATTTTGGATCAGAGTGCTTCTTTCTTAAACTTCTTTTCCCCTCTTTGTTTCTCACAGATTTCTCCTGCTGATGGTTTCCTCACCTCACAGGATTAAACACCCTGTGTCCCCCAGATGAGTGTCCAGGAGGATACGCAAGCTGAAGTTGCCATGGCAATGGCCGCAGCATCGGCTCCACCCCTTTCTCCCTCAGACTATGGAGTGTTGTCTCCGCCCCCTGACCTGTGCGCATCATGTGGTCACAGTCACCAGCTGGAGGAGAACCACGAGTACCTGTACCAGGACGAGGTGGACGACGACCTGGTGTGCCACATCTGTCTGCAGCCGCTCATCCGACCGCTGGACACGCCCTGCGGACACACCTACTGCCAAGAGTGCCTCACCAGCTTCCTGCTGGAGAGCGACTTCTGCCCTGTGTGCCGCACCCCCCTCATGCTGCAGAGCTGCAGGAAGCCCAGCTTGCTGGTGCACAAGCTGCTGGACAAGCTGACGGTGACGTGTCCCTTCACTGAACACTGCTCTGAAACACTGGCAAGAGGTGAACTCGAGGACCACATCAAGTGCAGGTAGGATGGAAAACACTAAAGTTATCATAAAGTTAGTGCTTGACTCGACTTCAGGACGCATGATATATACTGTATCCATCACATGAAATCATGCTAACAATGACCATCCAAACAATTAAATCAATAAAACTTAACATGACTCGCCCTTATGAGATGCCATTATGTAGATCAAATAGGATCATATTTAGGTTCTTATTTTTTTATTTATAAACACTTACCTTTATTTAACCAGGAAAAAGTCTCATTGAGATTAAAAATCTCTTTTACAGGAGCGTCCTGGCCAAGACAGGCAGCAGCACAATTATAGGGTTTCAGACATAAAAAACACTTAACAACAATGAACATAAATACAGGAACCACAAACAGAACCATTCATCAGAATCTGTCATAAGTCATCAGCAACAAAGCGATCAAAAAGGGCAATACGAGTTAGCTAAAACATCTACAGTCAGATATTTCTGCCTCCAGATCACTAAGACGACCTTTAAAAACATTCAAGGAGACCAGCTCCCAAAGATTTAAAGTACCTTGCAACTGATTCCAAGAAGAGGGAGCGGGAAAGTTATCATAAAGTTACTGCTTGACTCGACTTCTGGAGACATGATAAAAGACAATGTATTGTAAAAAGTGAAGGTTCACAATTTAAACAAAGGAAGTGCATGTAAATTGTGTAAAAGAACTCAAATCAAAATCCTGAGTGAAAAAAGTAAAAAAAAAAAAAAAAAAAAAAAAGGGTCCCATCCATCACATGAAATCATGCTTACAATGACCGTCCAAACAATTAAATCAATAAAACTTAACGGCCATCATGACTCACCCTTATGAGATTTGTTATGAGATTATGTAAATCAAACAGGATCATATTTAGGTTTTTATTTATATTTATAAGCACTTTTGTCTTCTGCCTGGATAAATATATAACATCAACATTCCATCATTTCTTTAATTCTCAGGAGTTAGCTCCTCCCTCCAGCTGCTGTTTCTAATCAGTGGTCTTATCACAGAAGTAGTAATGTACCTGAGCTCCTTATTTTAATCTCTGCTAGAGTATTTACTCTTGCTACATTAAAAAAAGAAATGTCAATGACCTGCAGTAAACACACACTCAAGTTTCCCACCCTCCTCGGCCTGCTGTCGTTAACCCGCAGAGTTCTTCTTCTGAACGGGCTTTCATCTGAACTCGCAGCAGCTCCTCTGTTTATCATTAAAACGCGGTGCTCTCGGTTCTCTCGGTCTGGGTGTATTTTCATTAATACTCATTAACACTTGCCCAAAGACCTCTGGGATAATTAGTGCATCTCACCAGACATCACAACAAGCAGCAGGGTGTTTCCTTTTTCATTTGCACTTTAAAAAAAACCTTCACAAAACAAACCTGAAAAACTTTTATCCAATTTCTCTGCCCCTTCTCCTCATTTTATTTCCCACTCTCCTCCGCCTGCACATAGAACCATTTCCTCTGTTTTTTTTCTCTCTTTTACATCTTCCTACTCCATCCATCGCTCCATATCTCTCCCACCATTGCTCCGTTGATTCCCACTCTCCTCCTTCGTGTAGTGTGAGAGCCATAATGAGGTTTGGAGCTCTGAGACGGACTCCCAGAAGGGCTCAGCTGCTCTCCTGTAGTTAGAAGGTGTTATCTGTGGAGGTGAAAGGCCATGTCTGGAGGGAGGGATCCACACGGAGCAGGCAAGGATGTGAGAAAGTTTCAGTGAGAAACCAATTTCTACATTTCTATTCACTGCGTTTTCTATGGTCCAGTGATTGTGGCTTCTGTCACTCAGCAGGAAAATGTGTTTTTGCTATGAGATGTTTTTGTTTAAAAATGGAGGTTGGATAGTTGTCCTTTATCTGATGAGACTTAACATTTTGAAATGGCAGAGAAACTGCAGAAAAACAAATTGAAAAAAATGAAGCGTCTTGTTTTTTTGTTGGTTTGGCCATATTGAGCTCTAAAAATAGCATTGTTGCTCCTTGCAATAAATTTTGGAAGGAAGAAAACCTGATTCTCAGAATAGTCCCTCATTTGGTGATTTGTGATAGCTTATGATGGTTGGATCAGATTTATACAAAAAAAACCATACTTATTAGTAGTTTAAAAAGATAACTCAGAGTTGGCCGTAGGTTTCATGTGGGATTCTATCCTCGATGTCCTGAATGAAACTCCTTCGTTGTTTGACTCATCCATTACCCCTGACTTCCCAAGTGGACTTTATTGGTCTTTCCACTCAATCAGCTGACTTCCTACATGCTGGATGGCTCTCCATCATTGGGGATGGCATTAAATTCATTGTGCATTTCTGTAGTTAGAAGAAGTACCAACAGTACAAACAGCCTGAACAACTTAAGATTCCACAGACATGATCGTTATTCTAAAAAACTGTTGTAAATGTCAGTCTGGAGGGGATATCAAAAATAATGTTTTTCTTTATTTAATCAAAGACTTTCTGGGAGAATATGACGGCCATGGAGTTCCATGGTTGTTGTATTGTGTTATCCGTTGACTTGGGTTATTTACTCTTACTGATCGATACTAAATGCCTGATGCTACAAGTTAGACGATGTTGTACCTGAACAACTCAAATCTGAGCTTGCTGGTTGAATTCCATTTGAAATATGTTTAAAGTTCTCAGCTACATCAGGGGAATAAGCCACAAAATACAATATCTACTTTTTATAAGAAAGAGTTGTCCAGTGATAACAAGTTAATTTCTGTATTTTTCTCAAGATCTCGAGACATTAAAGAGTTTTTACAGGAAAACCATTTCGCAATAAATAAGTCGAGATGTCAAAAACAATCAGAAAGTGTGCATTATTATAGGAAGCAGTAAAATAAAAATGGTAAAATGTATGGAAGTCAGCCTGCTCAGGGCCTCTGTTGTTTAGTAATTTAGCTTCCCTGTTGTTGGTTAAAGAATAAATAATGGTAAGCAGATATATGCTTCCAATGTGTTTCTTTATGTATATGAGATCATTCTTTGACCATCTCTCTCTCTGAGGGTATTTTGGTCGTCCATGAGTTCATAGTCTGTAGTCATATGACTGGATCTGGCAGCGGGTCAGGAGTGGTAATAACTGAGGCCGCCACGCCATCTGGTCAGCTAATTACATACTCATCCAATCACTCATGACCTTTATAGACCTTTGCTTGGAGAAATTATCATTCTGGACAGAACTGGAGCGACCAAGACAAACAGTTTCTGCAGTTTATTTTGTTGGCTTTATAACTTTGTTCTGGGAGGACTTCATCAGAATCCATTTAGAAAGATCTCTCCCCCCCCCCCCCCCCCAGCTCAGGTATTTTCTCTCCTTTTTCTCCAGGTAGCGTGTAGCTGCACGTGCTGCCTGTAATGCATAAAACAGGTTCTCTCTGCTCCACCAGCCTCACTCTCGTGCTCATAATTTTTGTATTACTCAAGCTAATTTACCCAGAGTTCCATGTGTGTGTTTTACTGATGATCCGCCTTAAGCATGATGGTGTTTCTCCCCCCCTCCTCCCTTTCTCCTTTTAGTGAAAATCTTCTTGTTCTTATCCTTTCAAGTCACAGAAGAATTCTTCAAAGCTTGTGTGAATATTTGAAAAATAAATTAAAATTCATGTCAGTTAAGAGAGAAAGAGAGGGCTGGGAAAAGGTCACTTTTCAACCAGAGCCAGTCGGAGTGACATGTTGTAAAGCTCTCCTGTTTTGCTTTACAAATTATGAACTGAGCCAGATGATATCAGCTGCACATGATGGGTAGGACGGGTAGTTTTTTTCTTTTCCATTTGTTGGAGTCACCTGTACGCGTAGATTTCTTCCATCCTCATTTAGCCTTTCTAGAGTCCAGTAATGTGGGAACACTGGGAGAGGCTACGTTCCCATGGTTCCATGCTCTCGAGGTCAATGAGGCATCAAGGAGACCTGTCAAGGATTTAATGTTCTCAGCAATTTATTCTCCTCAATATATATTTTATAGGGTTAATATATCCCAGCATTATCTAATAACAAACAGTACACTCTGCTTTTTGTCTTGAGACATTGATATCAACCGTCAAACTTCATTTTTCATATTTTCATAACCACCAAATCGTAGGTTCACTCGAGCAGCACTCCAAAAGTACCTTCATTGTAGTTCAAGCAGCATTTCACAATAAAAGCAACAATGGCAGAGGCGGACATTTTGGCTCCTTATTCAATAAGTTAGAGAAGGTGCTATAGCGCTCACTCAGGTTGTCTGCAATCTCTCTGACCTGATTAAGGGCAGGATTTGGACATTGATGGAAACTGACTTTATCGAATGTTTACGTTTTTTCAAATGATCACCCACATTAATAATGAATGTAAATGTTCTTTATCATCTATAATAAACGATTAATGGATTATCAGACATGTTCCCAGCTCTGCCAAAGATGCACAGTCAGTGCACACTTCTCCTTGTTTCCCTCAAATGTATAACAATTTTGCTAACCCTGGAAACTAAGTTACTCACGTACATGGCTCCTTTTACAGTTATCCTCTCCACCATCTTTAGTAGAGAACCAACATGTATGATATCACTCATCTGTGATTCACTAGCTCAAATGGTTCAAAGAAGAGAGTAAGAAACACCTGTAGCATCGCAAGATATCGCTAACCCTCACAGATGCTAGTTGAGTAGGCCTGAAGGAATAACTGGAAGTGTTTCCTGTTATTCCTGCAAGGTGTTGTAGTGTTGTATCTTCATCATTTCTCTAATTTCCAAAGCACACATGACCTCCTGTTTCCATATGCCATGAATGTCTCTTGTTTTTTTTAGTGTCTTTCATTTTGGGTTTTCTTTAAAGACCAAATTTCAGGACCAAACCTTTTATTGTGTTTCATCAAATTACCTTTTTGACTTCACATCAGTTTGAGAAATTGGTTGCAAGTGGGAACTGAACTAGAGTAATGGGATGTGTGTGTGTGTGTGTTTGTTCTGATGGTGTTTTTTGTGAGTGTTCGTTAATGCGCTGCAGTTTGTAACGACTCCTGTGGGGCAGA